CCACGGGCTCCTGACCAGGGTACGTTGCGCCCCCGTGGTGTGGCTACCTGCCTGGCCATGCCCCCCACCCCTCCCCCCCCCGCTCGTGGAGAAGCCGCCCCCTCACTGAAGCAGCGCTCAGACCCCCACAAGGATGTCACCCTTCCCTTTCCCAGAGGACAGTCCATGCAGAAAACTGGCTTCATCAACAGAGATGGACACCGTGGCTCTGTTGTAGCAGTGGACTTTCTTTGGCCACTTCCGAGGTGGGGCTCAGCAACCACTCCAGGGGGTACAGGGGGTGATACACAGGTCACTGGGGATCAGGTGAGAGTATCCACAGGCACACCCTGTGCCCCTGCGGCTATTTCCCAGGGACCACGTCAGTGCCAGCTGCACCGAGGACCACAGTCCTTAGACATTCTCCATTAAGGTTCAACCCAGTCCCCAAAGGCCCTTTTCTTTTTCTTTCTTTTTTCCTTTTGCTTTTTGGGTCACACCCGGTGATGCTCAGGGATTACTCCTGGCTCTGCACTCAGGAATTACTCCTGGCAGTGCTCAGGGGACCTTATGGGATGCTGGGAATCGAACCGGGGTCTGCCACATGCAAGGCAAATGCCCTACCCTTTGTGCTATCACTCTAGTTCCCCAAAGGGCCCTTTTTAAAGGTTCCCTTCTCCACAGAGCTTATCCCCACTCTACAAATAATAGCCCCCAGAATGCCGCAGCTCTCTGAAGTCATTTCTTTATTCTCTACTTCCTGCAGACTTGCCATGTGTCTGCCCTGACTGACTCGTCTATCTTGCTGAGCTGAGTACAGGATTTGGCACACAATGGTCTCCATACACTTGCTACATCCAATGGTTGGACCTGGTTCTGTTGTCTCTCAAGATGATGTGGATCATCTTGATGAACATTTTTTATTTGTTTGTTGTGGGCCACAGCTGGTAATGGTTAGGGGTTACTTCTGGTTCTCCACTCAGGAATCATTCCTGGCAGTGCTTGGGCGACCATAAGGGATGGTGGGGATTGAACCCAGGTTGACCATGTGCAAGGCAAGCGCCTTACCTGCTATACTATTGCTCCAGCCCCTGAAATTCTTTTTTTTTTCCCCTTCAGTTTCTTTTGGGGAGGCGCACCAGTGGTGTTCAGGGTTTACTTCTGGTTCTGCACACATGAATCACTGCTGGTGGGGCTCAGAAGACCATGCAGAACGCCTGAACTGGGTGTTGGCTGCCTGCAAAGCAAACAACCCAACCTTTGCACCACTGCTCTGACCCCTGAAATTCTTAAGTGTGTGTGTGTGTTTGGTACTGGGGCTCAAATCCAGGGCTTCAAACCTGCAAAGCATCTGCACAGACTCTCACTGAGCTACACCTCAAATCTGCAATGAAACTTTGGAGTGCTTTGGAGCCACACCCAGTGATGCTTGGGGCTTATTCCTGGCTCTGCTCTCAAGGGTCACTACTGATGGGGATTGGGGACTATATGGTGGTCCCAGGGTGAACCCAGGGTGGCAGCATGCAAGGCCAGCGCACTCTCTGCTGTCCTCTTTTCCTGACCCCTTGAGTGATTTTTTTTTCCTTTTTGGGTCACACCCGGTGATGCACAGGGGTCATTCCTGGCTCTGCAATCAGGAATTACTTCTGGTGGTGCTCAGGTGACCATATGGGATGCTGGGAATCGAATCCGGGTCAGCTGCGTGCAAGGCAAATGCCCTACCTGCTGTGCTATCGCTCCGGCCCCTTGAGTGAATTCTTTATGCCACTTAATGGCTGCATGCCAGGGAACCACACTGGATCCTACATGCCCCCACAACCCCAAACAAGAGCATTAAGGGAATTTTCTTAGTCCAGTTTTAAAATGTCCCCATTTAGGACATGAAAATGGATAAGCATCCTAGGAATAGCCATGAGAAGCTGAGATAATTAAGCAGCTTAACAGCCAAATGAGTTCTAACCCTTGGGTTTTCATGGCTTCCAGAGTTTAAATGTGAATTTTACATTTCATCTTCAAAAGTGACATGGTCAGGGGTCAGAGAAACAGCCCAAAGGGCTGAGGGCAGGAGGCCTGGGTTTGATCCTCAGTGCCGCGTGGTCCCCCAAGCACTGCTGGGAGTGACCCCCGAGCATGGACTAACTCCTGAGTACCATCTGGTGTGGGTGAAAAACACCCAACCAAACAGTGACAAGCAAGGATGGTATTTATTTTTTCTTCTTTTGGGTCACACCGGAAAAATACTCAGGGGTTATTCCTGGCTCATGCACTCAGGAATTACTCCTGGCAGTGCTCTGGGGACCATATGAGCTGCCGGGAATTGAACCTGGGTCGGCCGCGTGCAAGGCAAACGCTCTGCTGTGCTAACGCTCCAGCCCCAAGGATGGTATTTAGATGTGGGGTGTCTGCCGTATCTGTTGACCCTTCCAGAACAGGAGATAACCCCTGCCTTGAGCGCACATTTTAGACACGGCTCAAGCATGGGGCCTCCGATCAGGTCCAGTACTGAATTCTGATGGACTCAGGCCGGGACTCACTGTGGCTATAGGTAGTTGGGGCCATGCCTGGCGACCATGGACCAGTTCCCTGACGGTGGGTCTCTAACTCAGGGTACTTCCCCCGGCCCCATTATTTCTGGGCATCTTCCTTTCCCGTGGAGGACATGGGCCAATGTTGGGGGGAGGGGGAATTCAACTACCCCACAGACCTCCCAGCTGCACATCCTGCGCTGGAGCTCCCCTGCGTGGGAGATAAACTGTTCTTTTCAAGAAAGGCATCCCCCCCTCCCCCCCTACAGTGACAAATGGATCCTATGGTTTGTACATTTCTAGAATTCTCTCAGCCTCCAGATGGGAGCACCATCAAATAGCTCGTAGGCAGAGAGGGAAGGGAAAAATTAAAACCATTAATATGCTAGGGTGGGGGGAGAGAGAGAGAGAGAAAGAGAGAGAGAGAGAGAGAGAGAGAGAGAGAGAGAGAGAGAGAGAGAGAGGAGAGAGGGAGGGGAGAGAGGGAGGGAGGGAGAGGATGGGGCTTGGGTTCTCCATCCTCTGGGGTGGGTACCCACAATACAGCAGAGATTCTTCAAACCACAGACACCCCACTTCTCCTTTCCCATATTCTATTGGGTCCAAGATTTTGGCCCAAGGGAACCAGGTCTGACCCCTCTTTCTGAACGAAAGAAGTCTTCCAACATTCCACCATGTCCCGAGTCCTGGCCAAGCCAAGGGCCCTGGCTACTGTTACACCTAACAGGAAAGGTTTGTTCGCATCAAACTATGTCATGGGAGAAACAATGTTAAAGTGAGTTCAGGATGCTGCGTCCTGGGATGCCACTTTTCACTGCAGTTTATGTCTTTGTCGGTATTTTGTTATTGTTGTTGCTTTTGAGCCACACCTGGCAATACTCAGGGGTTACTCCTGGCTCCATACTCTGGAATTACTCCTGGTGGTGCTCAGGGAACCATATGGGATGCCCAGGATCAAACCTGGGTTGGTTGCATGCAAGGCAAGTGCCCTTCCCACTGTGTTCTCTCTCCAGAACCACCTTCTAGTATTTTTTTTTTTAAACAAAAAATATGTAACAGCACATCCCAAGGCATCCTGTTGTAACGCGAAACCTAGACACTATTCCACACCCCCCCACACTTGCTTCCTGGCCCTCTTGCCCCATCTGTCTGCTGGGGTGCTCGCAGCAGTCCCACACTGATCCTCCATCCCCGAGCACCGAGCATCCACGGGCATCTGGACGAGCTGCAGGCATTTCCTTCCGTAGTGGCCACCCCCCCGGCACTGCGGCACTGTTTACAGACTGATACTGATCCCGGGAACCCGCGGTCGGAGCTGAGTTCTCCAGCCGTAGCTCCATGAGCCAGCTAAGTGGGTCTCTCTCTCTCTCTCTCTCTCTCTCTCTCTCTCTCTCTCTCTCTCTCTCTCTCTCTCTCTCTCCAGAACTTGTCCGAGTTTGCGCAAGCGTGACTCACTACAAGAATTTTTCCAACATCAGAGCCTGCCCCTCTCAAAAGTCAACAGAAAACTCTGTGAGACAGAAAAGCCGCACAGTTCCGCATTCGGGCAGTTTCAGCCTGACTCTGCACTGGAACTTGGAGTTGCCCCAAACTCCAGGGGCAGTGTGAGGGTGGAAATGCCTCTCAGTCCAGTGCTCAGGACTCATGCCAAAGGGGAACAAAAGTTTGTCACCCGCTGATGTTTGGGGCTGAAATCTGCACTAACAGAAGTTTGGATCACTGGAAGCATTAACCAGTGTGGAACACAAAGGCTGAAAGAAAACTTCTGACCCAAGACCTGTGAAATGCAGAGCAAAGTGGTGAAGGGAAAAAATGGACAAAATGTGCCCCAATGCAGAAACTTCCAGCTGAGGAATGGTATGTAAAACAGAAAGAGAGGACGATAATTGTTATTTATTAATGCTCTGTCCTAACATTTATTCTAACAGCTTGTGCATTGTCAAATCAACACTCTGCACTAAATAAATGACCGTTTGGGAATTGTGAGGGAGCGTCTCTGTTCCTCACCCTGCTCATAGAAAATCTGTCATCTGCAATCAAAGAGAGCATCCCTGGTGCTGAGAACACAGCCCGGCAGCCCTGGAGCTGTCTCTTTCTGGGGAAAGACCAAAGATTCACATTTACTTGATCTTTTGCAGCCCATCTGATCTTGGTCTGCGTGAATCGAAGAGGACTTTCTAAAACGGGCAGGATTTCCTGCCCGACTGCACTCACAACTTTGCATGTGGATGGACCACCTTGGTACCGATCCTCTGGATTTTCAGAGCCCGCAGGAACAAAGGAGGTCCCGGAGGGAACCGATGTCAAATTGGGATGCTTAAAGGAAGCGCAGGAACAGAATTTTGTATGGCATTTCAGTACCGGCGACGGGGATTCAGAAAGTAAAACCAGTAGAAGTGCTGTGGAAAGCCCGTCCCAAATGAAGGAGACCGTGTTGCCCTGCAGAGCCCGGGCAGAAAGCACGGGAACCCGAGCACAGCTGAACAGTGCACATACCATCAGTTCCTCTGGGGCGGGTCTTTCCTTCGGCTGCTTCCGCATACTAAGAGAGGGGGAAAAAAAAACAAAACTTCTGTGTATCATTTGCAAGTCTGCACTAGAATTCCCACCAGAACCCGTGTCCCCCAGGTTTTTGGATGTTTTTGAGACTCATCACGTTCAGTTCTTGGCCAGAGGACCAGCATGAAATTTCTTTCACTTTATTTGGGCCTTTAATCAAGTGATTCTGAGGCGGGAAGAAGCATATGAGTCAGAAACACTAAGATATGTTTGTTTGGAGTTGCTCCCTAATCACAGTCACGGTCCTCCCGTTGTGCATCGATTTGCTCGAGCGGGCCCAGTAACGTCTCCTTCATGAGACTTCTTGTTACTGTGTTTGGCATATTGAATACGTCACAGGTAGCTTGCCTAATACGAAGAATAAAATAACAAATTTGAATTTATTCTATTTTGACTTTTCCCCTCTCTGGGCCATGCCTGGCAGTGCTGGGGGTAGAGGGTATGGCGGGTTGGCGGTCACTCCTGGTGGTTCTTAGGGGACCCTGTGGGTCAATCAGGGATCGAACTCTGGCTGTTCGTCTCGTTGATCTAGCTCCATAACACTAACATGCCCTTCCGATCCCCAAATTTAGAAGCAGCAGTATCTTCTTCCTCAGTTACAAGTTGTCTTACAGTTATAGTTAGGGGATCAGATACTCTTTCTGGCAAGCAGGATAAGACAATAGAAAAAGAAACACGATTACAAAGTCAAATGAGAAAACATCTCATTCCTTCCTATGAAGGAATATGAAGCATTAAGAGAGAGGGCCCAGGAGTGGTGGTATGGTCACAGCTTAAAGATGGCCTCTAGTTCTCTAGTTGTGACTCTCGCTTTTTTTTTTCTTTTCAGCTAATACAAGTTGGAAGGTCATTCTAGCTGTGGGAAAATCAAGTTTGTTTAAGCTGCTTAAAGTATCACATTCCTCAAACACAATATTTATCTTCCCTGTGCTGGGTGTGATTAGTGGCCTATAGCACATGCTTGGTTCTGTGACGAAGTACCCAGAGTTGGGAAGGAGGAAGCTGTGGGCAGCTGTCCACTAAGGACTGGACTTGGGCTAAGCTCAAGCTCAAGTCCAGTCTTGATCATGTCTGTGGGGTCAGGGCATGAAGGGAGGTGCCAACTGGCAAACATGTAGACTCTGGTTCTCTAGGTGATGAAACCTCACCCCGCCCCCCCCTAAAAGGAAACCCTTCCTGGGGTCCCAGTGTTCTCTCACAGTCTGTTTTTTAAGGAGAGAGATTTAATGATCATTCGGTAAACAAGAACCATAGTTATGAACCATTAATGATAAGGAGGACATTTGCCTTCCCTATAAATAACCATATGCACCTCTCAAACGCTGCATCCATTAGCAAGGAATTCAAGCTGCCTCACTAGTGCAGTTGGTAACAGTCCTAATCTGACATTCCAAAGTAGCTCTATCTCTTGGGAAAACAAGGCGATTACCCGCCATCATTTCCGCTGCTGCTTGACATCTGCGGAAATCGCAACACAGGTTATCTGGTCCCGTCTCTGGAAAACTTTCACCGGGAGCTGAGCACATCCGGAGGGGGAGGAGGAAGGCAGAGTCTCCTCTGATTAGCTCTGGCCTTTCCGAGTGTCAGACGTCAGAGACTGATGAGCGTGGCGTTCTGCCACACAGTCTGCATCTCCGGAGTGATGCTCAACCAGGAGGTTCGGGCAGCATGGGGGTGTGACAGTTGCTCGCTTTCCAGGGCTGGCGCTGCACAGAGGCCACCCTGTGACGGGCTTCTGACTGATACTACACTCCCCATAAGCAAAGGAAGACGGATTTTTTCATGCACATTTCTGAATAATGGTATTAGTGTTCTTAATGAGCTCAGGAGTCCAGGGTTTAAACAAGATGGACACTTTTAATTTTTTCCCCCAACGGGGCATGCTTTACAAAGATGTTTGGCAAAGTGAAACTCATTTTAATAAAAGCGAAGGAATATTCTATAAGGATTTTAAATAAATAGAAACAACGTTCATAAAGAATTTTTAAAGTGGGAGGGGTAGGGGTGAGGAGGGGAAATCTTCTGGCTTACAAATGGTCCTATGGAATATAAACTGCACGAGACATTTTTATTAAGAGGTAACATATTACACTTAGTCAAAAAGGTGATAAAGCTTGACATTTATATTAAGGAATATTTCTTGCTTTCACTTTAGTGTAATCATCAGCTGGATCATGGGGGGGCGTGCGCAAGCATTCATTTTAGTAAGGAATCCTGATAACACCGTTTCCTAGGACCCCAGGAACAAAGTGAGGGATAAACCTAGGGATTTCAGGAAGGAGGAAAAGAGAAGTTAAAGATAGTTAGGAAGGAGTTCCAGAACACCTGAGTAGCTGTGAGTCTTGCTTTGGAGTTGTCATTCTGTTTCTTTTTTTTTTTTTCCCCTACACCTGGCTATGCTTAAGGCTTAGTCCTGGCTCCGTGTTCAGGAATTACTCCTGGTGGTGCTTAGGGGATCATATCCAGGTTGGCTGTGAGCAAGGCAAGCGTCCTACCCACTCTTTTATCTCTCTGGCCCCTGGTGTGGTCATTCTGGCTCCTGCGATATGGGTGGCTCATGAATGGGTGATGTGAACGGGTAATTAAGAAAAACTCATTCTATGGGATGTGGGGAAAGGCAGAAGGCTGGAAAAGCACCCTTGGCAGAAAAATGTCATTTCCTCAGGTATAAAATGACAAGGGGCTGCCTTGAGATTACCGGGTTTCTGATCTCAACCCTGAGGGAGCTCTCTGTCCATGAATGGCCGGTGCCAGTGGGCCCTCACGGAACCATGTTTCAAACATCTATGTCCACAGAAATGGCCACCAGACTCACTTTTAAAATAGAACCAAAGATGAAAGTTACTTCCTGAAAGTCCATTGAATGGATAAACTAGGGCCATGTTCACTAAGAGACAGTTTCATGAGTAACTGCAGGTTTCGTGAAGGAACTGAGTGTCGTGTGTCAGTAAGAGGGGCTATGAAACGGAGCACTTCTGAGAAAAGAATCAGAGAGCAATAGTTAACTGTGTTCGAAGAAGTAGCTCAACTCTCAGCTGTTCATTTAAAACAGGAAAGGAAAAAAAAAAAAAGCCTGGGAAGGATGTTTATGACCCTTTGTGTAAGTAACGTTTACATAATTTAAACCATTTCTTCAGCTTTGCTGGCCCATCTGCCCCAGGTCCCCCTTCTCCCTCCTGTACCCCCAAGTCCTTCCCTTCTACAAAAGGGAGCAGCCAGAAGGTCTCACGGAGTTGCCGAGTTAATGACATGTATCATTTACATTGAGGGCATGGCATGTTTGCAAACAGGCTTACCACTGAGTGATGAAATGTACAAATGGCTCGGAGAACTCGCCAACCGGAAGGACTGGCGAATCCTGGGAGGGAGGAAAAACAAGTCATCAAAAGTCACGTCCATTCCTTTTTCTCCCTCGTAGCCCCGTCTGTCCACCCAGGCCACTAGCCCATCCAGCAGGAGAAAGATGACACCAGGGTTCCGGCCTGTGGAGGAAGGAAAATGAGGACGCCTCCAATTCAAGAGGCTTGTCTACCACCCCCTGTCCATGTTTATTTAAAAAAAAAAACAAACCTCCAAATTTAAAGCCGCACACATTTTCCAATGGTGAGAAAGAAACACTAGAGCAAAAAGGGGGAGGAGTGAAAAAGGGACAATGATAGCCACAGGGTAGGAAAGAAGGTACGAAAGTGTAAATGAGAAATTAATGATTATTTAAGTAACACACAAATGGTCTTGTAATTAACAAAGAGCTGTGAAATTATTCTTGTGTTGACCTTTGCTTCTTTTACTGGATTTGCTATTTATTTACACTTTCCCTTTTATTTACATTTATTTGTATATTCAAATGCTCTGAAGAGCTAGTTCCCAACAGACGCATTTGGATCAGTTCCACGCCCCCCCAACCCCCAATCTTCCCTTTTAATTCTAAAAGAAAGGTGTCGTTCTTCTTTTTAGCAGCAGAAGCTGTTTTCTGAAAGGGATTTTCAGTCTCCTTACCCGTCTAGGCAAACTCAGCCTCTGAGCAGACCCGTGAATGAAGAACACAATTAGAAAATTCCCACCTTGCCCAGCAAACAGAAGTGGGGAGAGGTGAGAGTCATTCAAAGGAGCAGAAAAGGGCACCGCCATAGACTCCAAGCCCCTTGGAACACCGGGCGCAAACCCCATTATCATCAGCACAGGAAGGCTTTAAGAATTTAGGAGTTTTTCCAAGAATGACAGAGAGCGCCCCTGTGTTTATAGTGTAGTGGCTCAGGATGTAATGAAATTACACTGCAGAGTACTTTAACAGCCATCTCATTAGACCTACAGTTGGAACAAGAGCCACATAAAGTAGGCAGCTGCAAATGACTCCATTCTCATCTATTCTCATTTGCTATTAAAAATACCTTTCGGCGGCTTTTTTCCTCCCTGACACCCCTACACAAAGTGCCCTGCAAAGTATGATACATGCACCTATTTAAATTAACAAAGGAATGACTTATTTTAATCTCACTGTGCTTTGGAGTGCTTTGGCCATTTGGATGAGCAATATATCATTACATACAACCTTCCAGCGCTGCAGGCAAGGGACTCGGAGCATGCAGCATTTGGTGAGAGCCAAACAATTTCTCTAGCACACAACTGTGTCAAATGCATGCATGTATTCATTATTGAGAACGATAGGAAATGGCTTTGATGTAGTGGAAAAGAGAAGATGATGAAAGCACCTTGCAATATGTGTGTCATTATCAATGGTGGCAAACAGACAGAACTGCACAGCCTCCTATGTGATTAGTAAATATACATATAATTGCTGTGGCCAATTATCAGAAAAATGAGATCGGTAATTACAAGACAGAAAATTAACTAGAACTCTTATTAAGGCTTTGTTTCCAATTCAAACAATTGAAAACTGCTGGAAAATACAATTAAATCAAAAGGAACCGTGAGGATCAAAGCTGCCCCCCTCCCCAACTCCAATGAGGCTGTAAGAAAAGGAAAAGTGAGCGAAATATTTCTTAGTTTTGGCGTTTCTGTCTTCTTTGCATTTACCGCGTACATCCAGAGAAAGGGATGATCATCAGAAACTTAAAATTCCCCTCAGTAGAGAACAGGTTGCGATAAGGAAGGAAAACAAAGGGAAATAGGGGGTGGGAGAAAACGTGGCCAGGTTCAAAGGATTGCACGCAGGCATTAGAGAGAGAGGACATGAAAAACAGGAGCTGAGCAAATAGTCCACTCAAAAGAAACAAGCCACACAATAACATGACAAGTCTTCAATAAAGGTACTATAAAATGGTCACAGAAGTCCCATCGGTTTGAAGAGCAAAAATAAAACATGATATCAATTTCAGCCCGGCCTGTTTTAGGAAAGCTATATATATATATCACTGAGCTCACAGCATTCTACAAGGCCCAGTTGGAAAACTGACATTTTACAGTCTCAAAAACTATTAGTAGAAAGCTAGTTCAAAGTCTGAAGTACGAAAACTATGGACCCGGGTCAGGTAGTTAATACTCTAAGTCATTTCTTCCTGAAATTTTTGGGAGGCTGCCATACTCAATATCTCAGTAGTAGTTATTTTAAAATGCAATTACTGTGTGTGTGTGTGTGTGTGTGTGTGTGTGTGTGTGTGTAGGGAAGCCTGGCTTCTGGATGTGAACATTTAGCAAGATGATTAAAATTCTCGACTGATTTTCTACAAGGATCCTAGCATGAAGCATGATACTAACGTGGGCTTCATTTCAAAGTATGATGCCAAGTAATGACCAAGAGTCAATTAATAGACTAGGAAACATGATGAAAATGTAATTTTAACACAGATGAGAAATAAAATGAGGAAATGTGACATCTTTGCATGGGTTGTTAATTTTATTTAAGACCTGATATTGTAGCCTAGTAAGTTCCTCAGAATATAAAACTATGGAACACTGGGTGGTACCCATGAATAATTTATTCCACTGGTGAAAATGCCAGCCTAAGTCGACTTCGCAGAACCACTGAGAGTGGATTCTCATCTCTGTGGGGCCTGGGAAGAATCATTCAAAGATGTCGGGGAAATTCTCATCTCACACGCATAATGCCATGTACTTCTTTTTATTTTGAAACCCATGTCTCTTGCATATGTCAAAGGGGGGTTTTCTGAGCTATGATGTGTGTGTGTGTGAGAGAGAGAGAGTGAGAGAAAGGAAGGGAGGGAGATAGAGAGAGAGAGAGAGAACATGTACCACACACATACATGGGCAAGAGGGCAGCAAAGGAGTCTTCTGAGGTTCTCCAGTTCCATAAAAGCATGCAGGTTGTTAATAACATAAAGCAAAGCAAGTAAACAGAGTTGATGGTCTTTGCCACACTGAATATGTATGTTTAGTGTTTCTTAAACAGTGGGGCCAGCAATTGCCAGCAATTGAGCACAAGAACCCCAGGAAGGAGTCTGGGCCCTGCAGGGCTAAGAACTCCCCACACTACCCCTACAGTACCCATAGGAGCTTGGGGAGATACTCGAGGACCATATGGTGTTGGAGATTGAAGCAGGGCTAGCTGCATGCATGCAAGGCATGCATCCTAACCCCAGTACTCACTCTCTTTGGCCCTTTGCGAGGGGATTTTAAAACTACTTGCCTACTAAGGACCCCCAGCTCCATTTTCAAGCAAGTTGAATGAAAGTTAGATTAGGTCCATGCACCCTCCTCCTTGGTGATCTAATTCAAATTTGTGCCAGTTCACCATTGCTCCCAGGAGAGGGAATGGATGTGGGGTGGGAGAGAGAAGAGGAACATGCAAGGGCTTTGGAGGATCTGGTCAAGCAGGTGCTGTTAGCTATCCATAGTGTCCTCTGTGAAATATGGGCTCAGGCAAAGTAAAGGAACAGATTTCAAAAACATACACCCAAACTGGAGAAGGGGTTATACTAAGAGCTCTCTGAGCTGGCTGAAGCTGACTTGAAACTGTTAATAAAAGTCACTCTCTTTAAGACTGGGCATCATACTTCACCTTAAGGGCTTTAGGGGGGATGCTTGTCTGCTGAACTTCTAAGCGTGGCGCCATGGAATCAAACTGTGGACACAGCCTTAACTGCGATTCTAGTCCCAAATCAACTTTAGAGCCTGGAGAAAGGCACGTCGGCTGTTATCCAACAGGCAAGTGTTCCCTCAGAACAGCAGCCATAAACCATTCCCATAAGCAATTCTGGTCATCCAGGAGGACAGGCTTCCAGAATTGAAGGTTTCAGTAACTACCTGGTCAGCCCCTTCTGCTAAACCACTGGAACACAGGCAGGCGGCTCGCAAGAGAACAGCGAAGGACAATGGGAAAAAAGTTTGAGTGATGCCTTTGCCTTGTGAATAATGAACAGTTCAGGAAGGTCAACCCATTACAACTGAAACTGTTTAATTATTAATTATGCGCAATCTATGAGCAAAAGGACAAGTTCAGAATGTTTAATGTATGCTAACTTCCACCGGACTCTCTCTGGGTATTTTGTTATTAGCACTTGTCAGCAAGGTAGTCAGGCATAAAAAAAGGCAAGCAGCAAAAAGAAATCTGTGTGTGTTTACACGTGTGTGTGTGTGTGTGTGTGTGTGTGTGTGTGTGTGTATCTGTACAGCCAAATAGGTGGGGAGGGGAGCAGGAAGAAAAGAAGCCTAATTTCAGCCACCACCATGGCTATGTAACTTGTAGAGGAAATGTTTTAAAAATACACTTTTGCAACCTGGAGAGGACGTAGGTAAGCTGGATTCTCCAAATACTGTAAATAAAACCCAAGAAAAATGCTTTTGAAATAAGTGATTTACTGGGGAGCTTACTGTTAAAAAGTCATAGTTTGGGGCTGGAGTGATAGCACAGTGGGTAGGGCATTTGCCTTACATAAGGCTGACCTGAGTTCGATTCCTAGCATCCCATATGGTCCCCTGAGCACCGCCAGGAATAATTTCTGAGTGCAAAGCCAGGAGTAACCCCTGTGCATCACCAGGTGTGACCCAAAAAGCTAAAAAAAAAAAAGGGCATAGTTCTCTCTTTCTCTGTCTCTCTTTTTCTTCTATGATTTATCTCGGCTTTGAAAAGATGCATGTCATTAATGTTTATTTATGTATATGTCAAATCTGTAGACTCTGAATAAATTTAGTAGGTGTTATATTGATGTCAATTTCCTGGCCGTGCGTCTCAGAGTTAGGGTTCTGGAGGAAGGGTAAAAGGATCTCCCTGTATTTTTTCCTAAAATTGCATGCAACTCAAATAATGTCAAAACAGAAAACTAAACATGAAAAAGGTAAGGAGCTATTTCTGAAAATAGTGACGAGGTCCAGATTCTCAGTAGAACTCTGCTTTTTGGGACAGAAAGCGGGGGATGCATCTGGCTGGCTCCGCACTCAGAG